CACACACTCACACACACACACACACTCACACACACACTCACACTCACACTCACACACACACTCACACACACTCACACACACTCACACACACACACACTCACACTCACACACACACTCACACTCACACACACACTCACACACACTCACACACACTCACACCCCATTTTACACCCATGTTTAACCTGTTTGCAGTGCAGATGTGGGAGCTGAGACCTTTGCACTGCAGCCACTGTGATGTCCCACACAAATCCCCTGCCTGATCCACCACAGCCTCGGTGCTGGGGACTTCCAGTGGCCTTAACACAGTTCCCACAGCGAGTTATGGCACAGCTTTGGCTCATTTATTTACAGTGCACATCAGATCTGGACTGAAATAATTCTGATATAAACCTGGGTTCAGCTGAGCTGTAAGTCATAGAAGAGATGCTATAATAACACAGGTTAGTAGAAATTTCTGACTTTTAAAAACATTAAGGAAGGTGGGATTTTCTTGCTTTTACTGTACTGTAATTCTCTGCAATTCACTGAAATAACTTTGCAGAGGGTACACAAGGATTTCTGTGCTCGTGACGCTCAGCTGCGCTCATTACTGTGAAAAAATATCTTCAAGTCAGAGAACAGGTACTGAGATGAGTATTCAAAGAAACCATAGGGATTAAAAATGTACTCTGCAAATATTCAGGGGTAGAAAAGCCTTTTTTACCTCCTTTTTTCTAAACTGTCTTTTCAGAGGACGCACGTAACGGATAAACCAGAACAATTCTCACGACTTGACAGGATCCAGCACAATTAAAAGGCACAGAGACAGCACAGTCCAGGTGTGAGGCAGCTGAAGAGGCAGCAGCAGCATCTCTGCAGATCCTCTTCAGAAATTGAATATACAGGAAATCCAGAGATGGGAGAAGCGTCACACACTGAGGGTGGCTGTTCAGAACGCTGTTTCCTCTCCTCCTCCCATTCAGTGCTCAGCAGGCTGAACTTCTGCTGGAGGAACACTGAGAGAACAGCAATGTCTCCAGCCTGGCCCTTGTGGTGTCCCAGAGCCAGCTCTGGGCATCCTCACACCTTGTACAGAGCCTGAGAGCCAGATCTGGGGATCCTCACACCCTGTACAGAGCTCTGGGCATCCTCACACCCTGTACAGAGCCTGAGAGCCAGCTCTGGGCATCCTCACACGCTGTACAGAGCTCTGGGCATCCTCACACCCTGTACAGAGCCTGAGAGCCAGATCTGGGCATCCTCACACCCTGTACAGAGCTCCAGAGCCAGCTCTGGGCATCCTCACACGCTGTACAGAGCTCTGGGCATCCTCACACCCTGTACAGAGCCTGAGAGCCAGATCTGGGCATCCTCACACGCTGTACAGTGTCCCAGAGCCAGCTCTGGGGGTCCTGGGCACTGCACCAGTGCCTGAGACCCTCCCCAGGGACTGCCCAGAACAGCTCTGGATCCCTGCCCTCCTGAGCCCTCCTGAACCCTCCTGAGCCCTCCTGCCCCTCCTGAGCCCTCCTGAACCCTCCTGTCCCCCTCACCCCGGGCAGCTCCAGATCCATCTCTCCCTTCATGCTGTGAAGGCTGTCCCCAGCACAGCAGCTCAGGAACCCAGTTTGCTTTTTCCTGCAGGAAAGGGGTTGAAGGTGAAATGATTATTTAATCCAAGGGGTCTTTGGCAGCACCTCAAATCTCCCACCCTGCAAATGCTGATGGGAGATAAAAGGCACGGGAGAAAAGAGCGTTTGTAGAACAAGGAGGGATGAGTGACACACAAAGCTTCTCATGACAAATGGGAGCAGGGTAAGATAAGGGAAACTAATAGATATGCTTATTATGCAGAGCCTCAGTTTTATGTGTTTTATCTCTGCTTTGTGGTTTTACCAGTCAGACATAAAAATGCAGTTTACGTGAAACTATTTCATTTCTTATTTCACTCCTTCTGATAAATTCTCGGGAAGCATTTTAGATGAATGCAAATGGGAGACTTAAAGTACAAAGGATCAGATTTAACTGACAATGGGACTCTAATAACTCCTGCGTGCCTTTTACAGCTGGCTGCTGAACCCAGCAGCTCCCAAACCTGAGATTAAATTAAGAAATTAAGATGCAGATTTAGTGAGAGATGCTTGAACTTGCCATGAATGAGAACTGGGAGCGAGCTCATTCAGCCTGGAGGGGAGAAGGCTCTGGGGTGACCCAGCTGTGGCCTTGCAGGGCCTGGAGGAGCTACCAGAAACTGGAGAGAGAGCATTGACAGGAGCCAGGGAATCGCTCCCAGTGCCAGAGGGCAGGGCTGGGTGGGATTTTGGGAATTGGGAATTGTTCCCTGGCAGGGTGGGCAGGCCCTGGCACAGGTGCCCAGAGCAGCTGGGGCTGCCCCTGGATCCCTGGCAGTGCCCAAGGCCAGGCTGGACATTGGGGCTGGAGCTCCTGGGACAGTGGGAGGTGTCCCTGCCATGGCTGGGGGCACTGGGGGGGATTTGGGGTCCCTCCCAGCCCAATTCCATGACTGGAAGTGCTGCCAGAGGAAACCCAGGCTTTCCAAAACCCTTCTGATGTTGGTGTCCCAGGCCACTCCCCTGGAGGGTTTGAAGCCACATCTCCTGTGACAGAAGGACAAAGTCACTCTGAAGGGTCTCCCTCACTCAAATCTCCTCTCCCAAGCAGACTCTGACTTTTGACAAGTTTTAACTTCACACACTGCCTTGCAAATGCAGCGACTTTGAAGCAGGCACTGGAGAAAACCCAACCCTGAGGACATCATTCACATGCAAAAGCACCTAGATTTTATCACTTCTTTTACATAAGTGATTTCCATTTGAATTTTAGATTTTTATGTTTTCCAGATTCTTGCTTTATTCATGCAAATCACAAAAATTGCCCTCAAAACCTTGAGAGAAAATTGGACTGGTCTGGAATACACACATCTAATAACGGGCAATTTTTATAGAACAAAATTTATCAGTGGCTGATTTTGCATGAACTGTGATTTCTCTGGGAAGCACTGCAGGACCAGACCTCTGTCTCTGCCAGCCCAGGAGACATTTCCAGCTGCTGGGCCAGAAGAACTGAACTTACAGTTTATATAACAACTTAACTCAGAGCTTTCAAAAGTCCCTTTAGGAGTCAGTAATCCTTTTTTGCAGGCTACAGCTTTGCCTTCACTCTAATCAGGAGCAACTGCTCCTCTTTTCTAATTCAGCTTTCTAATTATGCACTGAATTGTGTTATGTTGCAATATGGAAATAAAGTGGTAACTTGAGATATTTTTGGGCTCGTGCTATTACAAGCCAATTTATCTCACTTTTATATGGGAATTAAAACAAATGTTCTTACAGATGAAGTAGATGGCTTATAAATCTCCCAGAAGGCTTTTCCAGGTCATCTCAAGATTCTATCTCATTCTCTACATTATGTTGTGCAAATATAAGAAGGAGAAACATTTTTTAATAAAAATTAAAATTAGCTTCCCCTGCTCTGTGCGTTTGCACAACCACGGGAGGGGAAGGACCCGAGTGCCAACGTGGCCTGGGACATTTCGGTGTCCAAGGGGGGCTGAGGGCACCCCTCCCTCCTCCAGGAGCCCTGCAGCCTCCCTGAGAGCCCCAAACCCAGCTGGCCATGCCAGCCCCGCTCCCCCAGAGCAGCTGGGGATGAAGGCTCAGACAGCTCCATCCTCCCCGGGCTGCCCAGGGCAGCAGGAGCAGACCCAGGGAGGAGCCCTGCAGCTCCTGCCTCAGAATGAGGAGCCCTTCAGGCCCTGCCCGGCCCCAGTTCCCTGACTGATGATGATTAAATCACTGCAGGGAATTCCCAGATTCCCTCCTGTGCCCCTTTGCCCAGGGAACACAGCCACCTTCCTCTGCTGAGGGCCATCCCTCAGAGACCACCCCGAGCCAGGGAGCAGCAGCCCTGTGGGGATGGAGATGCTCAGATGTACAAGTGCCAAGGTCTACAAACAAACTGGATCTAGGAACAAGTCACAGGAGCTGTGCTGGGGGCAGTTGTGACAGCAGAAACAGCAAGGCAGGCACAGAGAGCCTTTTGGGATGAACGTGGGATGTCAGGGAATCAGCCCCACCACTGAATTATAAATTCTGTGCTTGGCAGTTATAGGAAAGGTGACACTGAGGGGTGGGATGGGATTTTAGTGTCAGAAAA